AAGGTTCGCCATCACTGACCTAAAGGAAGGAATTAACAGACAGATATAGACAAATGGAAAATTAGAAGATGCAGTGATACACCGGTAATGAAAAAGATATCTTACCTGTCAAAATCTCAGAACACATTTGAGGATAAGGAAGAAGAGCTGATTGAACGGATGATAAAGCTGTTGGAAGAAATGCTGAATATTGACAAACAAGAAATGAAAAGACAAACTGAAGGGGAAGGATGGAAGCTGTTTAATGAATATAAATGGGTTGAGCTTTCTTCAAAAAATACTTCAATCAAATTCTCTTCCTCATTCCAAACAATATATACACAAACAGAGGAAGAATTACTTGATGATTCAAATGCACTGACTTGGAAAATTTAACTGTACCAATTTTCACACTGTTACTTTCTATGTTGACAAAAAAAGTCAGTTTTCACTTATGCATTAATGAACTGATCAGTGACTGACCCAAAAATAGAGTCAAAGTTCATTGAAAACATTGTGGGCCAAACTATTGGCTATTATGTGAGAATATAAATGGGCTAACTAATTAATCAATCCAGCATTCAGCTGCTGTAAAAATGGAATAAAGAAACAAGTAAACAAGGCAAATTCCATGACCGCAATCATTAGGAAGAGAATTGAAAATGAGACTGTCAACAATAACAGTGCCGTAAAATACTTGTGAGAGGCACATATGTTAGATTATGTGTAGTTCTAGTCACTACATCTTAATGATACTACAGTGCTATGAAGAGTGCAAAAAATAATAAAATATTAGAGAAATGGAGGAACTCCTTTATGAAGGAAGACAACTGCATGGCTTTTTTTTTTAGCTTCAAACCAAAGAGTAAAGAAGATATGGTATGTATGAAATCATAAATAGCATTGAGACAGGTATATTTTTCTACCTCTTTTCTAATGTTAGAACTCAAGACCATCCACTGAAACTACATTCAGAGGAATTCAGGATTAATAAAATGAAATACTTTCATATGCATCTATAAACTTGAATTTATTGCCAGCTGTTGAGATAATGGCAATAAATTTGAATGTCAAAAAATTGTAAGGAAGATAAAATTCTGTTCAAGGAAGATATTGTTCTGTCCCAGCCTCTGCGAATACTGCTCAACCACTTATTCGGGAGGAAAAAACCCTTTGCATTGAACAAGACAAGATAAACCCCTTTTGTTTTGACACAGCTTTTATGGAACAAAACTCTAACCAATCCTTTAGCTGTTGAAATGAACAAGATCAGTCTCTGAGTTCTCAGCTGGAATGCTCAAGGTTTAAGTCACTCAAACACAGAGAAATCTGACAAACCTGGCTAAATATCCAAGAATCCTGAGGCAAGAAATCCAATGACAGAAGCACAAAGCTGTAGCATGAACGGTTGCCTTTGGCAACCAGCCCCTCCCACCCCTCTCCTCTCTGTAGTCCAGCCAGAGTGTGGCTTCCTAGAGTCTTTTACTTTTCCTGGAGAACCACTCCATTGCCCTCCACTGTCCTGCATGCTTTTCCTCCCTGCGCATCCATGAATCTGGAACAGGCCCCAGTTGTTCTTCATCTTCGCTCAGTTAGGCCCCCAACCCAGCTGTCTCTGTGCTTGAGCGTGAGTAGATGGGCCTGGTATCACATCTAGCTCTAAGTCTTTGTGCTCCTCAAAGTCTTCCACAGGCTCGGATGTGACCCCAGGCAACCCTTCCCCCTCATCCGATTCATCTGATTCTGCTGCCGGATCTGCTGGCAGGCAAAGACTCACAACAGTTATTATCCATGGCCACTAAAATTGATAGAAATTTCCAATTCCAAATTCATACGCAATGTGTTGTAATAATATTGCTGGAAAGTAACAACAGAAAGAAGTTACTGCTCTGTTCCAGGTTTGTGAGCATTCCCAAGCCTATGTTTATCTCAAAGGTGCAAATTGACAATCTGTGCAAATTGAGAGTCAATGCGATTGAGAATCTGCATAGGTGATAAGCCTACGGATTAATCTATCAGGGTTTTATATTCTTGTCTTTTTAAAATTTGACCAACAACAGCTTGACACTTGGTTGGGTTATCCAGTATTATAACTCCCATATAACAAATTTTGTGTGTTGTCACATCAGAGAAATAAATACTTGTGTATGATTTATTTCAAGTACATATTGTTTGAACAAATAAAACCCTACCATAGTATATACCTAAGGATGAATTGAAAATGGATTAATTACAACATTTAAAGCATTGAGAAACCATGCCATCTTCATATGCAACAAAGTCCTTTTCTTTACTTGGTTATATCAGGAAACCATTTAAGGTGAACATTTCAGGATTTGTTTTATATTGTTGTGATTATGTTGAAAAACTGTTCCATAGCTACTAGATACTTTATTCCATGAGGAAGAATTATCTAGATTTCATTATCTTCTTCCTCTTGATTTTGCTTCTGCTTATATTTAAGGAAAAGAATGTTTAGTATTTTTTAACAGTTCTATCATATCTCAGTTCTATTGTGCAATAGAAGTAATGTATCCTTTTAGAACAGGAGTCTTCAAACTTGGCCCTTTTATGACTTGTAGACTTCAACTCCCAGAATTCCTCAGCCAGCGTTCCTGGCTGAGGAATTCTGAGAATTGAAGTCCACAAGTCATAAAAGGCCAAGTTTGAAGACCCCTGTTTTAGAACTAACAATTGTTAATTTGCTGGATGTAGATCCTTTTCAATCATGCTGCCCACTCTTTGGGCCATTATCTCAATCAGAGACTAGATTGGCCCCAATCCTGCTGGCTTTTTGCAAGACTTAAAGACATTAATTTATTAGTGGGCTTGATGTGTGGTGAGTTCAGGCAGTGGTTGTATTAATTTGCTGTTGGTGGCTTTTTTTTAACCTTAGCTGCTAATTGTGTATGTGTATTTTTTTTAAAAAAAATATTGTTTTAAGTTTCTATATAGTTTGTATTTTTTAGTTTTTAATTGCTATCAGCCCTCCAAAGTTTTAATATTTTAATCTGTGTAGTTTTATATTTTTATTATGATTTTATTTGTCATTTTAACTTTTGATTGGGAGCTGCTCAATCAAAGAAAATGGGTGGTAATGTAAACATATTAAATAATGAATTTTAGATGGATAGTCATATAAACTGAAATAAAGAAATAGTTCTTCTGTAAATGAAAACAGTTGATTAATTTTTACTTACTTTTAAATCAGAAAATAAAAATTATTTAGCATTGCAAACAAATCTAAGTAGTAGAATTATCCCTTACTTTGTGGCTGATTAGAGGAGACATTCTCACATGGACTAAAAAAAGCGATCTGTCCCAGCAGAAGATAGTTTGTATTAATAAATTGTGCTCATATGCAAAATCACTATAGCATAGTACCCTTTATCTCCCATCCAGGAATCTGCCATCATTACATTTTATGTTGAAGACTACATTTGACATTTATTATATGCTGCATTTCATAGTAGCATTTTTATGTTTACCTCCTGTTAGGTATGCTTTACACTGAGCTGGAACCTTGCTTTAGGTTGTCCATAACTGTTTATTCTGTTGTTAAAAAACTTGGGTATTTTTTCAGCCAATCTTGTACTTTGAGATCCTTTAATTGTTAGTGCCAGGAAAAGATATTTGAGACTTTTACAGACCAAGTTATACTATATCATATATGTCAAAACATAACACAGCATCAATATTATATTGTTTAGAATGAATCTAAATGGAGAAGGAAGCCTGATTGTTAATTTTGAATGCTATAGTCAGAACATGCTCGGTGACAGAAAAATCAGTGATTTTTCAGTACTGAAAAAAGTGACAATACAGTAAACGGTAGAACTGAGCATGACAGCAGATTCCTTGAAAGTATTAAAAGAGAAGCATTAGGACTAGGGGATTTGAAAAGACAGGTAATTATTACAGCTATGGTTAATTAGGGCTCTGTCAAATCTTTCCTAATTTTTGTGTTGATATTTGACATTGGCTTGTGCTGTTTGTATTGCCCAAAGGCTTATGTTCTTGGATGTTACCGCAATCCTCTGTTTAATGCATCCTCTAATCACCATTTTCTTCTATCTCATTACCATTGAATTTGGCCAAGGAAACCTGTATTACTTTATTTGCAGTTTATATCAGTGTTATTCCATCAGAAATAGCATTACAATGTTATTTTTTAATTTATGACATTACAGTGTGATAGATAAAATTTCATTTCTTTTCAAACCCTGCTTCTTTAATCAGAGGTGATACAGCTGAGAACAGTGAGGCCAAGCTAAAAGTAATAGAGGTTACAAGAAACTTTGCTGTAATAATCTGAGTTTTGTAACTAGTTGTTAAAATGGGAAATACTTTGATAACAATAAAGCAAATATCAAACTGTTAAAGTAGTTTTTCCCACGAACTATGATATATGATTCTTATAAATATCCTAGCAATTTCCCCCAGCTTAACACTCCCCCTGCAGTGTGATTAGTTTCCAGGGTCATTTTATCTTGGCAGAGATGGGCAACCTTCAAACACCTGTTACCACTAACTCTTTTTATGCTACTTTCAGAAATAGAGATGTTGCTGAGAAAATTTGGCAGAATGCTTTTCTCTATATTATTAGTTTAGAAAAAACCAGCAAAACATGTATTAATCTAGAAATATAGCACATCAATTTTCCTTTCAAAAATGAACCCACCCACTCCCTAAATAGTAAGGAGAGAGCCAGAATAAAAAGGAGCTGAAACTGCCTTCCATCTCCTTCCTGCCCTACTTGTCACCCATGTCATGTCATGACTTTATTGCCATGCCTTGCAGAGCTGGAAAAAATGAAGTAAAAAAAAGTATAATTTCCCAAAGGAATAAAGCATTGCCATTTCTGAAACTACCAGAAAAAGTGGCATGGCTTACAACTGTTAATAGCCAGTCTCTTTCTCTCCACATATTTTTTACTTGTTTAATGTACTAGGGAATAATAAACACATTCTTTGGGTTGGTTTCAGTGATTAATGTTCTTGTTTCTTATTATTTCATTGAAGGCAAAACTGGCCATACTGAAGTTGTGCGAGTGGTATTTCAGCCAGAAACCATCAGCTTTGAGAAACTGCTCAAGGTCTTCTGGGAGAATCATGACCCGACACAAGGTAGAGTGATGAGTGAACCAGTATTTAATTATCTTACTAATTACAGCTGGGATAATTAGTGTTTGAGCTGTTTGGAAGAGATGAACCTTGAAATCACACCACACTCAAGAGCATGATTGCAGGCATTTATTGATGAGATGGGAAGCATGAGGAACTAGAATTTCACAAGCCTCCCTCCTCCCCCCTGCCTCCAATAGATGTCTGTGCTGTGAAAATTTCCACAAAGAGACTTATAAGACAATAGAAATTCTTCTCACCTTTGGATTCTTACACCTTCTTTCTTAATGCAATCTCTCACCTTTGAAATTGAAGGTCTTCTTTCTACATAGCTACACAGTTGATCATTTCAGTTATGATGTTTGTGGTATGGTGCATTTCAATTTTTTGTGGTATCTTTTATGCTGAGAAAAATAATAAAATGTTGATGCATTTAGAATAACAATGTGGTGGACAGGTCTTTTAATCAATATTTTCATCTAGCAAGTTCTTCCTTGAAAGTGCTTGCAGGCTGCCTGTAATATGCCATTAGAATGATGGTAGCAAGAAAATGTTTTAGTTTTCAGAGAAGGTAAATACTATTATATGATTTGATGATGGCATGAACGTACATTTATGATTAAATCTCCAATATTGTGTAAAATTAATATAACAATTTATTTTTATCCTGCCTTTATTATTTCATAAATAACATACCGTACTTAATACTCTTTCTTCCTCTATTTTTCTCTCAACAATAAACATGGGAGATGAGTTGAGCTGAAAGAGAGTGACTAGACCAAAGTCGCCCAGACAGCTTTCATGCCTAAGGCAGGACTAGAACATCACAGTTCTACTTCACATATTTCACTTCACAGTTTCATATGAATATGCTGAATCTCTGCAAAATCTCAGAAAACCTCTTGAAAGATTTTGAAGTAACATAACATCTAATGATCTTCATAGATTTCTGTTATTAATATAATTAGATAGATAGATAGATAGATAGATAGATAGATAGATAGATAGATAGGTAGGTAGGTAGGTAGGTAGATAGATATCAATATTAGAGCACTACAACCTTCAGCTATACTCTGCCACCATATATAAAGGTAAATAATGATCTTAGTCCCACAATCCTGTTTTCCAGTGGTTCTTCCTGATATATTCAAAGAATATTCAAATATTCAAATTAGGGTGATTACATTCAGAACAATTTGAATATTCTTTGATTTGCAGGCCCAATCCATAGGTGTCAGTGACAGGTACTACTGGCCCATCTTTAAGAAAACAAGAGGGTATAATAGCTTTCTCCTGCAGAAGCTTGAGATATGTCATGATCTTTTAATGAAATACTTCTCGAGTCATCTTCTCTTTCAAATAAGATATTAAAGAATAAGAAAGAAATATAGTTTCAGCATTTTGGATCATTCTTTTTAAAGAAGATTATTTTCTGTTGACTATATTGCAAATCTATATATTGAATGTATAACAATGTGCACATACCAACACACGTTAAAGAGAGATCTAACTTGGTACTAAGCAGAAATTTCCTTCAATAAAAATAATTAATCAATGGAACAGCTTGTCTCCCATAGTTGTGGGTGCAAGATAGATTCCTTGTGAAGACCATTGCTGAAGGTCTTCAAGAAAAGATTGGAGAGCCACTTGTCCAGAATGCAATAAGGTCTTCTGCCTTGGACGGGGTTGGACTAGAAGACTTCCAAAGTCCCTTCCAGCTGTATGATTCTATATCTGCCATGCAACTATTTGGGGAAAATGCAAACTTCCTTCAGTAACTGTTTTATGAGAGTATCCATGATGTGTTCTCAAAATATCAAATACAGTAACTGATCCTAAAGTTTTTGGGAGCTTTTAAATATATGATATGCTTTATTTAGCTGTGATTGAATGGGAGGAGGAATGCAATTTCTCCCACTGTAAAATGTTAAGAAGATAGCTAAAATATAGAGAAATGAAATAGGGACTTAGGATTCAAAGCACTTAAGCAAAGTGCCTTTTTTTTGCTACCTTTTCCCTTTGTCTTTCCTGTTGTCCATTTTGGAACTTCCTTCCTTCCTTCCTTCCTTCCTTCCTTCCTTCCTTCCTTCCTTCCTTCCTCCCTCCCTCCCTCCCTCCCTTCTTCCTTCCTGATATCTTTTCTGCAAAGTACTGATCTTTGCAATGCCTGTCCTTTATTTTTATGTAGGAACATTTCATGCTGTGCTGTTGCTGTTTCAGTTTGAGTCAGGATCACCAGTGCAGCAAGCATGAGCATAAAATATCTTTTTTGATGAGCTTTTATTTTCTACCCAAATAGGATGCAGCTCAAACCTTCTGGTACCTATCCCATCAATAGAAAGTTTCATTTGCCACATGACCACAAGCAAAAAGAGAGTCAGGGTGGAATAGGTATTTCTCAGCTGTTTGACTGCCTTTGGAATCTATCGTAATAAATCAGACTTTGGCATCTGTAGTAATAAATTATCACCATAGAAGACTACAGGATTTTGTAAACCAAGTCAAATGCATGAAACTGCTTTATTTAGATTCCTAATATCAAATAGTACAAGGCTGAGGACCTGAAGATTCCTCATTCAACATACACAAAAATGGACACAAATTTGTATCAGGTCTTTACTGCTTTGTTTCATGTTACCTAAAGGCCCTGATTGTTAGTCACTGAGTGGGAAAAGCTGTGCCTCTTATGGAGGCTGCATAAGGAATCTATCATCTGCAAATAATTAGAATTAGACACTAGAAATTACATTGTTTTTCTAATGAGCAGATGTGTCTACTTGGAGAAGGAGGACAGCTGTACCCATATATAAATGTGAAAGCAAGCCTAAACTAACATTGCACATTTTGTGATAACCCTACTTTTATAATGTCAAATGGGTCATTACATAAAGGATCATTGCATAAAATGTACTGATTTTTCAAAATTGTTCAAGATGACTTTTTCAGAACATTGAGATATATAAGAAATCCAGACCTGAGTAACAGAGCTGCTTTGCATAAGTGAAGCAAATTCAGCTATTGGGATGGTGCTTCTTATTTACCAAGACTTATTGACATGGTATTGTATTCTTTTCTGCTTCAGCTATAAAGAGGCTGTTCTGGGTCAGATAAAAGATATCCCTGCACTGTGTTCTATTCATACAGTAGACAAGTAGAGCTTGTGAGGGGCTTACAAGTAGGACTTCTGTTTGGAATAGCATCCCGTGCTCTATGTTGACTCTATGGTCAACATCCACGAGACAGCAGAAATAATGAAGGTTTTCTTTCAAAAGACAACTATTTGTGGGGAAGTGGGAGGAGAGAACTTTCTTTTTACCCCCTGTACAACAAGTCTAAATTAAATTTAAAGGCCTTAAATAGATTCTATAATGAGACTAAAAATTATGAGAAGCATGTATAAAATTAACAGGGGAGTGAGTTGTAAGTTCTAATTCCATTCCCTATTTTTTTCTTGCCAGTAAATTATGTTGTATCCACAAATTATTCTCTAAAATTATGTGCATGTGTTTATATGTATATGTTTGAGTTTGTGTTGGAAAACATTCATTGGGACAGAAAGAAATAAGCAAACCATAACCAGAAATATCACAAAATGAATAGATAGTAGGAAAGAAATTGTCCTTAATTATCAGTCATGTCCCATGTCTATGGTACTTCAAAGTAAAAATCTAAAGAACAATTTTATATTGTGATATTTGGATCTAAAAGATCAAGCAGCAGCAAAGTGCATGAAAATTGACCACTGGGGAAGCTCCTGTACTATACTAATAGACTAGACTAGGGGTGTCAAACTGCCGGCCTGTGGGCTGGTTTCATCATACTGAAGCAGCGTCCACCCCATTGCCGGCAATGCAAAAAGAGTTGCGACACATCGCGACACATCAGTGACATGGTGAGTTTGACACCTATGGACTAGACTCAAACAACAGCTCAACTCAAATAGAGCTCACTGATTTGTACTTGTTCAACATGTAGTAGGAACCCAACCATTAATAGGAACCATGACATTGTGTTAAGCCATCATTTAACAAGTAAGGTACTACAGTATAGTAGGTAACCTAGGGAATGTTCTAGTAATTCAGGTCTAGAGTTTGTCTTAATATTTGAACCCAGCCTTTGAATTCTTTATCTTTTGCCTGTAACATTGATATTACTTATTTATCATATTCATACTTATCACCCATCTCATAGAATTTGATTATGTATGATAAAAACATAAAAATAATAATTACAAACCACTCTAAAATTAAAATGTAAATATTACCATTATTTAAAAAAAGCTTTAAAAAGATAAAAAGAATATAGATATTATGCACAATGAAGCCACCTCTCTAATCCTCTTTTCCACAAGACTCCGAAACCTATTATACAATCAAGTTTTAAGGGGCTTCTGAAAAGAAGGATAGGTCTCACCTCAGGAGTGGGAGAAACGATGTTCCATAGTGCAGGCACAACTGCAGAAAAGGCCCCTCTTTTCGTTCCACAAAATATAGTTCATTAGTAGAGAGGATCTGAAGCATATCCCTATGATTCTGGGTTCTGCTAAACCTGATGGAACAGGTAGAAGTAATCGGGAACAGGTAGTTCGTTAAATAACCTGTCCCATACCATGAAGAAGGACTTTAAAGGTCAAAACTAGCACCTTGAATTGGACCTGGAAGCAACCTAGCCATTTGCCATTCTAGGGCTACAGATAATACTGCATGTGCTATTGCATTTTGTACCTTCTCACAAGCAAAGTCAATGAGGAAGCCAGATTCACTTAACAACTAGTTTACTAACTTATCAGCGCAGTGATTCAAAGTAAAAATCTAAAAAACACTTAACAAATGTTACACTTAACAATAGAAATTTTGGGCTCAATTGTGATTGGAAATTGAGGAATACCTGTATACATCTCTGCCCCTGGTGAATTAAGCAATGCTATTGATGTTCTATCCTGGTTCTTGGAGGCTATGGGGATCTGGATGGGGAACAACAGGCTTCAACTGAAGCCTGGTAAGACTGAGTGGCTCGGGGTTTGGGGGCCTTCTCATTCTGGGATCCCCAAGTTGCACATCACGTCTTCCTGGAGCAGTGCAACCCCATTTAGTACCAAAGGTAGTATAGTCCCAGAAGAAGAAGACTCCCATATGCCTCATGTACAGTAAGATTTTTGTTTCCACATGTCTCCTTTCTCCTTTCTTCCTAATTCACCTGCACTTTTGTCCCCCATTATTTGCTCAATCTATGTGTCAGATACCTGCTCCGCCCTTCTTTTTATTTTGCACACGAGTTGTGCTTCGTCCGGGATCTTCATTATTTTATTTTCTCAATTCTGTCCTGTCACCATTCATCATCTGTTGCCCCTTCCATGCTGCATGGCCCAGTCAGTCAAACTAAATCACTAGCATTTTTAAGGAAATGTTCTGTACCAGGTGAAGCCCATCAAACGTTGCTGTTATTTCCAGCACATTTTGTCACATAAGGCAAGTGACATTATTACTTTGTACGCTGAACATAAGGTCAAAGTTTCTTTTACCAAGACAGGTTTTGGATTCTGGGCATTATACATCTATTCATTTCAGGCATGAAATAAAATAGTTGCTTGCAGTCCATAAAATAAAACTCAGCCAGTGTAACCAATAAGCTGCAACACAGTTTTTGGTTTTCAGAAGATTTTTAGAATAATCTGACCTGCCTTTCATATTTTTGCTAACCAGGGAATTGGGGAGGGATGTGATACAGTGACTGCATCCAGTACAAAATAAGCCCATTCATTATTTATGCATTATTCATGGCAGTTTGTGAACACTGCATTCCTTTGGTCAGTTTGATTTACATTCTGCATTAAAATTCAAGCATAAATGCTACATGGATTATTAGTAGGCTTTTAATCTTTGATTTCATGTCTAGTTACAAGAGGTCAAACCTGATTTTCTCTTTCTCTTTTTTCCCTATTACCTAAAGCTTCTACCTTCTCATAATGTAATGCAGAAATAACTTGCCAGCATCCCCATGATCATGTGATCAAAATTCAGATGCTTGGTAACTGACTCATGTTTATTGCAGTGTCCCAGGGTCATGTGATCACCTTCTGACAAGCAACATCAATGGGGAAGACAGATTCACTTAACAACTGTGTTACTAACTTATCAACTGCAATAATTCACTTAGCAACTGTGACAATAAAGGTTGTAAAATGGGGCAAAACTCACTTAACAAATGTCTCACTTAGCAACAGAAATTTTGGGCTCAGCTGTGGTTGTAAGTCAAGGACTACTTGCAATTTGTGGTCAGTTATAAGGTCAAAAGGCACTACAGAAATATTTTTAATAAATTGATGAAAAAGAAAACATTAGTTTGTACTATTTGCTTGGATAGCTAATCTTTATAGTTGGTCTCCCTTTCTTTTGTTTCTTTCTTATGATACATTTATATTATTTTGTGTTTAAAAACAAAGTTAGGACTCAAGGAAACTATCACCAGACTATAGTTCCACCATTATCTTTTTACGACAGTTCATATATCATAGAGCAATGGTGGCGAACCTATGGCACGCGTGCCAGAGGTGGCACTCAGAGCCCTTTCTGTGGGCACCTGTGCCGTGCCCCGGAGATGGCGAGGGACTGGCCCCCGCCACCCTGGCCCTGCCCACCAGTCTGCCATGACCACTGCGGCCACGCCCACCTGGCACCCGGTGATAAATAAGTTGGTTTTGGGTTGCAGTTTGGGCACTGGGTCTCTAAAAGGTTCGCCATCACTGTCATAGAGTCATAAAGTTGAAATGTCCTCTGAGGCCATCCAGTCCAAACCCCTTCGTAGATTAATACCTGATGGCCATCTGGCCTGCACTTAAACACATCCAATGAAAGGATGCCCATCATTTCTCTGAAAAATGTTACTGTTCTTACAAGGAATTTTAGGGAATCAGTCTAATCATGCATTATTTTGTGTTCTGTGCTCTAGGAAAATAAATCCATTATTTTGTATAGTATCTTTTCATGTATTGAAGAGTGTTATATTTAAGATTATTATATATACAGGTAATCCTTGACTTACAACAGATCATATAGTGACCGTTCAAAGTTACAATGGCACTGAAAAATGTGACCTATGACTTTTTCATAATTACGACCTTTGCAGCATCCCTATGATCATGTGATCAAAATTCAGATGCTTGGCAACAGGTTTATATTTATGATGGTTGTAGTGTCCCAGGGTCATGTGATCACCTTTTGCGACTTTCTCACAAGCAAAGTCAATGGGGAAGCCAGATTCACCTAGCAACCGGGTTAACTATACTAACTTATTAACTTATCAACTGCAGTGATTCACTTGACAACTGTGGTAAGAAAAATTGTAAAATGGGGCAAAACTCACTTAACAAATGTCTCACTTAACAACAAAAATTTTGGGCTCAATTGTGGTCATAAATTGAGGATTACTTATAATAGTTTGGTGCAGGGTATATTCTAGAAACCAGAAGACTATGAGATCTAGGCTTCCTTTAGGCATGAAAGCTGGTTGGATGACTTTGGGCCAGTCACTCTCTTTCAGTCTGCTCCACCTACCGCCCCATCCCTTCCATCATGGCTCAGTCACTTATCTTTTTGGTAGATCTTTGGGAAGCAGCTGCTCTACCATGTGATCTTCCTACCCAATGGAGACCGTGTGGGGCCATCCCAGAAGTGGATACCATTTTGGGAGCAGATAGAATGAATTGGGGCTACTCCAAAATGGCACCCACTTCTAGGAAGGTGCCACACAGCCTCCACTATATAGGGAGGCTAAGAGCCTGCTCTCCTGCCAAACACTATCTCTTTTGATAGAATTGTCATGTAACAATAACATTTCAAGTTGAAGATTATTGGCTTGTGATCTGACTGCAGAATTGCACTTTCTGTTGTAATTTTAACCAAATGGCTAATCATGATCTAATCAGCTCTGAATGTATCTCCTTCAGAACATTACATTTGCATTTTAGGTATTTAAAACTGATTTTATTTCAGGTTTGCTTTATTGTTTTAGTAATATATTTTAATTTTGTTTATCATCTTTGAGATTGGTCTGCCTCCTACAGGAAGAAAAAGGACTGAAAACTCAAGTCATATGTTTATATGTTACATAGAAAGGTGATTGAACTATTTAAATTATTTTGCTTTTTGAATTTTTACCCTTTAATCACCAGAAAAACATAACAGGTTATGAGAGCTACCCTCTCACACAAAAAGGTATGAGTGAACACCATATGAGGTGACCCCTGGAGGAGATATAGTATCAACTGGAAGTCACAAGGTTTCAGCCCAAAGCAGGAAGTGGGTCCATGGGGAGGGGACCCAGGGGGCTTCTAGAAGAAGTTCTAAGTCATGTACATTTATATCTTACAGGATCCATTACTCTGGAGTTCTGTCATTCCACTGTTATTATTGAACTACACTGGAATTCTGTAACTAAACATTCTATCCCTTCCTTTATTTTTATTTTTAGGGATGCAGCAGGGAAATGATGTTGGGACACAATATCGATCTGCCATCTATACAGTCACCCCAGAACAAATGGAGTCTGCCTTGAAATCTAAAAGTGATTACCAAAAGGTAAGGATAAACGTAAAATGCTTCCAGGTCACCTTGCAATATTCAGGCTGATAAAAGCGATTACAACGTATCCTCTCAATTTATGTCTACAATTCGAACTCAGTTGTTGAGTGAAGTAATTAAGAAAGACATCCATGTGACCACTTCGCTCAGTGACTTCAATCCCAGCTCTCCCTGTTGCAGTTGTTTAAGCAGACAGAGCAAAACATTTCCCTGCTGAAAAAGGGCAGATAGCTCCTCTTGAAGCATGGAAGTAAACTCGTGTGCTGGGCTGGAGAAATGAGGCACAAAGATTACTACTTTGTTTCTCCACTACAGTGCACAGGTTCCTCTCTCCTATGTGTACAGAAGGGAGCTCATGCACAGAGCTAGAGAGATGGGGATCATGTAGCTCAACAAACCATTTCTGTCCCTTTCCCTGCGATACATGGAGGAGAGGGGATTCTTTGGCACGTGGCAGCAGCTTGCAACCTTCCTTGTTAGCTTCCCCATTGTCCTGGCAGAGCTGGCAGAGAAGATTGCAAATGATGATCACATGACCGCAGAGCATGTGCACATGTTGCCAAGCACCCAGATCACAAATACATCACAAACACAAAGTCATGTTTTATGATAGCTGGAAGTGCTTGACAGACTGTAAAGCGGCCTTTCATGCCATCATAACCTTGAATGGTTGTTAAAGTACTGGTTGTATGCCATGGACTATCTTTATCAGTTTTGTAGCAACTAGCCTAGGGATGGGCAATTAATTTTCTGAAAGGGCCAGATTAGAAACTGGGACTATTGTGGAGGATTGCTGCTGCCCCACCTCTGCCAATGTTGCATCGACACCCCAGTGCTGTCATTGCCCTATACCCTAACCTCCAGTGCTGTCCTGCAGTTGACACTGCTGATGCCCACTCCTTGCCATCAGTGTCATGGGCCAGAGTGGGACCACTGCGGGCTGGATGTGCCCACAGGCTGTAAAATGCCCAGGTCTGTATTAGCCTGTACTTTGCTGAAAAGAGGGGTTTTTTTGACACCATGAAGATTAGCTACCTATTTTATTTCCAATCTCACTGTTAAGATCAGTGTATTTATATCAGATATTATTTTAGCATTGCTGTACTTTTTCAAGCTATTGTTCATAATGAAGAGAAACTAAATTTCATTTTTGATGTGTGCCGTTGTGCCCACAGTAAAAAATGACAATAAAGGTTATCTTACCTTATCTTACCTTACCTTACCTTACCTTACCTTACCTTACCTTATCTTATCTTTCAGAATCGTGAATATCTTCCAGTATTGTTTGCTGTCTGTTTGAATAGCTAATAGCTGGAGACTCTTTATAAAATATGTGATGACTGACATCACTACCTTTGAATTTTCTTTCCACAAGGGACAGCAAGCAAAGTAAAATATCAGCAGGGAGATTTGTTGGCTAATGATTTCACTTCAGTTAGATATAAACAAAAGAAGAATGGGAGATAGTGGCAAACATGTAACTCTCATAATTGCAAGCTTGAGTTGTTTATTCACTTGAGAACAATTTTACTTTGTAAAATAGTATAAAATATTTTATATTTACATAGTTAGGAATGTAGGATATTTTCAAATCAAGCTCCCATACAGTGTATAAATCAAGTCAAGTGACACAATAAATTCTAAAATTCATGTACTTTTAGTTTTTGTATTTATCCTGAATATATTGATTATATCTGAAATAGCAGAGATAGCAGCAGGTAATGGCGTGGGAAAAAATGGTGGTCTGCTACTATGTTTATGTCCTTTCCCAAAGTCTCCTTCTCATTAATTCCCAGTGAACTATAAACTTTATTCTAAGGAATCCCTGCATCACTATTATTCATTCCCCTCCCAAGAGGACTAAGGATGGTCCTCATTAATTTATATTGGGTTTTTTTTCCTCTAGTTTTATGTGCAACTTTTGGGAGATGGGTTTAAGGTTGAAAAATGTTTTTTTTTCCTTGCCCCAGAAAATCTTTCTGGTTGTACATTGAAAGGAAATTTTCTAAAAATGGGGGAAGGTTTGCTATCTGTATTCTTACAGATTGTCAGCAATATTCTGTGAAAAATAAAGTATATTAAGTTTACATCTTACAAAGTGGCAAACCTGAGTCTCACTTTAGCACTCACATAAGTGAGATTTGATCTCAGCAACTCTTCTCTACTTCCTCCTGGGCTTAGACCACAGCTAATCATGCTATCATTGTCTGTCTGTTTTGGCCTGTCAACTTGGAGAGAGAAGTATTGCCTTGTGACTGACTGTTATAAGGTCATCTGTGATTGTGACAGCATTGGTACTTTAATCAAATTTTTGTTTGATTATAATAATAATAGTAAAGTTGGAAGGGACCTTGGAGGTCATCTAGTCCAACCCCCTGCTTAGGCAGGAAACCCTATATCATTTCAGACAAATGGCTGTCCAGTCTCTTCTTGAAAACTTCCAATGTTGAAGCATTCACTGCTTCTGGAGGTAGGTTGTTCCACTGGTTAATTGTTCTAACTGTCAGGAAGTTTCTCCTTAGTTCTAGGTTGCTTCTCTTCTTGCTTAGTTTCCACCCGTTGTTTCTTGACCTGCCTTCAGGCGCCTTGGAAAATAGCTTGACTCCCTCTTCTTTGTGGCAGCCCCTGAGATATTGGAAGACTGCTATCATGTCCCCCTCATCCTTTTCTTCATTAAACTAGACATATCCCATTCCAGCAGCCTTTCCTTATATGCTTTAGCCTACAGTCCCCTAATCATCTTTGTTGCTCTTCTCTGTACTCTTTCTAGAGTCTCAACATCTTTTTTACATCACGTCTTTTTTCCCTCTTTTGTTTCCTACTATTTCATTCTTGATGTGCTAATTTTTCATAAACAAATTTTATGGGTAGTATTTAACCCATTTGAATGAAAAGAATTAAGATGTTTTGACAAATAGAAAGGTTGAAGTGGTTCCAAGCATCTTAATCAGACCTTTTCTCTATATCTCTTAACATTTTGCATCTTAGTTTCTCCAGTCACATGCAAGACGTTTTTTAGAAGGTCAGATCACTGAGAATTATTCCTATAATTTTTTACATTATCAGTTTTGTCTATAGGCTTTATGAAAGATTCAGAGATAGACTAATTTTACAAGGTTCCACGAGGATTGCTGCTGTGTATAAAAGATGCACAGCATGTTGCAACAACCAATCAATCCATGGTGGTTTATTGTCAAGAGAAAAATACATTGCAAGTGAGTGCCAAAAAGATACAAATTCCCAATCCAAACACATTATTAGGATAAGTCAGGATTCAAGTGCTATAGCTGACTGGGGTTTGAATTGATGGTCCATTTGCTGTAAAAATGCAAGGTTATGACATGAACTCAGAAGGAAGGGAAGAGATGTGTATTTGCAAAGTCTGCATAACAAAGATAAAAGAAGCTTGAGTATGGACAGGTGGGGCCCTTCCAATGTAGAAAACAAGAGCTGACTATCAGGCATATCATACAAGACATATTGCTAAGATAAGGAATAGGGCTAAGACAGAGCCAATAGAAGACTTGCTATTTTTAAGAATAGAGTTGAAGTAGAGCCAATAGAATACTTGTTAGATAACTTTTGAAGTGTTTATTAGTTAGATATAGGGATGGTGTAGAGCACACATGTCAAACTCGCGACGTCACGTGATGTCGCGCAACGTATTGGAGCTTTTTTGCCATTGCCGGCAATGGGGTGGGCACGGCTCTGGTATGGTGAAACTGGCCCATGGGCTGGCAGTTTGACACCCCTGGTGTAGAGCCAATGAAGGACTCTTCTGGTAACTTTTAAAAAGCCTATTAGGCAATGTTTCTTTATCCCGCCTTGAAAAACTGTATAAAAGCTTGTTGAATCCTTTGTTTTGGGTCCTGGCATTTTCTGGCCAGGACCCCTTCAATAAAAGGAAATCAATCCTGCACGTTATGTCTGGTAGTTGGCTTTGGCACCAGGCTAAGACCCAAATTTGGGCACAACAGAATGGTCGGGATATTTTGTGGACTGTACCTTTGGTTTAACTTCTCTGCACTTTGCATTCGTATTACATTCTGCAGTGGCATTACTGTAACACCATGAGTTAGGTGTTACATTCCCTCTTCTTTGTGTTGGTATAATTCTTTTTTTAAAAACCTATTTCAGTTAATTATATTTTGACAGATCATCCACCACTCCAAATTCATTATTAGCGCTTCCACATGTGCAAATTGGTGTTAGGCGTCAACTTAAGCAGCAAATAAACATTCACATTATTCATTGGCATTTTATTACTGCAAAAATGAGAAATAGTGCTGTGATTGACTTGCCACTTCCTAGAAATAGTATAGAAATTCAGAATTTTGGCCAAGGCAGAACTTGGTTTATTTCATTGCCTTCTAGTGTCGCTAGCACATGTCTACAACATTGTGAGAATAGTTTATATTCCCCTTTTTTAAAAAATAAATTTTTGAAAAAGATTGGTGTCTATCAGAAAAAAAAGTGAAATCTCTCTCCTCTTGATTACATTCCCGCCAATAATCCCTTAATTCCCAGTCTTCCTTCATATCAAAAAAAGCTTTAGGTAACCTTGCTTGTTTAAGAAAAGGAGAGGAACCTTCCTTGTCCCTTTGTATATCTAAGACACCATTCCAATCACCCATTAATACCACTGATCTATAGTCAAGCAATGTTATTTTTTGATGTAACTGCTTATAAAATTGTTCCTGTTGTTGATTTGGAGCATAAAGTCCCACTATAAGTACTTTCTTACCATATATACCAAGTTCAATCATCACATATCTCCCCTGGGGATCTGATTCTACCAGACAAGCTGGTAGGTTTTGTTTAACATATATAACAACTCCCCCTTTCTTCCCAGGAGCAGAAGATATAAAATGAGATCCCAAACGAGCATTGACTAAATATTTCTGATCTTTAAGTAAAATATGAGTTTCCTGTAAGCAAATAACATCATTGGTATGTTGCTTCAAATAATAAAAGATTTTTTTCCGTTTCTGAGGAGA